AAAAAAAAAAAAAAAGGAAGAAGAATATTTTGATCTTTTTCTATTATTCATGACCAATAGTATTCGAAATTTTTGAACGAGAAGTTGACGTGGTAGAATCTGAAACGACGTGACATTTAACGTTCTAATTTTACCATACAAATATTCTTCATCCATTGCTATGCAATAAATACTACCTACCCAATTTTGAAAAGTATAGGTTCTTCTACCTTTTCTCTCTTCTCAGACTTAATTTAATTCAAACAAACTTCCACGCTAATATTTATGTCTTCCTAGATTCTTCCGCCTCAACTTTCAACGGATGCTTGTTCAAAGGTATTTTTGAAACGTTTATAAAAGATATCAAATGTATTATTGAAACTTTTTAAGAGGATGACAAAATTTGTTGGTATTTTTTGTAATTTAGTCATTTCCCCTCATCTTTATATATAAAAATGAAATAAAATCATTCTTATTAATTATCATACATAAAATTAATAAACCCTTAATTAATTTAGCAAAACGACATCTAATTTGCTAAAATAAAGTAGGATCCAGGTAGTTTTTCCATTCTATTGGTTATTTTAATTGCAAAGTTTGAAATAAGGAAGCAAATCTACACGATCAATCAGATAAGGATAGACTTTATATACATCAAAAAAATTAATCAGAGACATTGATTACGGCAAAAATGTTTGATATCATCAAGTAGTAATAAAAATGTATATATAAATACAATTCCAATTTCTAATCACCAATGGATTGAGAGAGAGACAGAACTTTAATCAACCAAATTATCATAAACAATAAAAAATATGACATCATATAATAATCAAATTAAAACCACAGCCATGAAAACCCAATCATATTGAACCTTGACCCACTTCAAAACTAAGCCTATCCCATATATAAAATGAAAAGAAAAAAAAAGAAAAATTTTTCAGCTTAGAGAGAAGGAGGAAGGGAGAGAAAAATTGGTGGGACCAAAAATTCTAAGGGGACAAAATTTTGGCTACTAACTTATATATATAATATTTGTTAAATTAAAAAAAGAAAGAAAAAAATCTATCATTTAAAAAATTTTAATATAGAAACTTGTTTGAATTAAGTCTGGAAAGAGAAAAAATGTGGAAGAATTTATCGTTTTTAATAGAGTAATTAAGACAAAATTGAGTAGATAACGAGAAGAGCAAACTTTCTTAACCATCGAAGAATTCGAAGACTTTTAAAGTAAAATTAGGAGGTTAATTGCAAAGTTAAAAATAAATTTCAGGATTCTTTTTATTTTAAATTAGTCTATAATATTTAACGAAAAAGCTTTAAAATCTTAATTTTTATATAATATTTTGAATATAAAACAAATTAGAGATAAATGTCCTTTCCTCTCTTATCAACATTCTTCAAAATTATTGGAGTAGATCACTACCAAATAACTGATAATTTTACACTGAGAAAACGTGAAGATTTTCAAATATACATAATCTCACAATTAATAAATAATCTTGCAACAGCCACCAAATAACCGATAGTTTTACACCGATCAATAAATGAGAAAAAACATGAAGATTTTCAAATATMCATTATTCCCCTATTAATAAATAACCTTACCACAATCTCATTCAATAATTTTTCAGTTTCAAAATTGGATTGGAAGATTGAGAGACAGGAGAGAGAAAGTACAAAAAGAAGAAATAAGAGGGGAGAGAGAGAAAGAGAGAGATACAAAATCAGAAATCAGAGAGAGAGAGAGAGAGAGAGAGAGAAAAGGCAGAAAGAAAAGAAAAAAGCAGAGGTCAGTTAGGATGGTGGCTGGCAAGTATATGGGAAACAGAAGTTGAATTTCATGGCAACTGATCCAAGAAATTGATCAAACAAAATCTCCATGGAGGATGTTTAAAGCCACTTTTGCCCCTCCAGAACTCCCAACGGCCACCGATTCCATCAATTTCTTCTCCTCTCTCCAGGTTCACCTTCCTTCCTCTAACTTTCTCTTCCATCCATTTTCCCGGAAAATTTCAAATCCAATTCTTCCTCTGCGTTGATTTTTACTTTTCTACTCCGATTCGTTCATCGGCGCTGCGTTTTTCACCGTTTTGTTCCAGTTAATCGCCGGTTTCGGCTGTTTGGTTGCGGGGAAAATTCCAACACGATTTTCCGGGAAAATAACCAATGCCCTTGTTGATTTTGATGAGTTGCTGTTAGCTTTTTCCCACTTGACAAGAATATCTGGTGGGATTTGGAAATTGGGATTTTTTAAAAAAATAAAAATAAAGAAATTAGTGCCAGCTTATTAGCATTATTTTTTTTTAATTTTTATTGGTTTATTTGTATTGTATTGCACTTAGTTTTCAATCCCATCTTATTGTTATATCTCTTTTGTTTTATTGATTTTGATTTATTTTTATGTTAATTCCATCCTAACGTATGAGTTAATATGTCCCTTTCCTTCTCTATCTCCAAAGTTTCAAATGGAAAATCAGATTAGAAATATTCTAAGTCCAATATGTTTTAATGAAAAATAGAAGTAGTAGGCCTTTGTTTATTTCTAATACCCATTTATTTCTTCTTTTCTTCCTTTTGTCAATTACTACGAAATTAAAAACTGTTAAAAAAAATTACTGTGAACAAAACTCGTTTTTGTATAAAAGAAACGAACTCAAATCAATATGTAATCTTTTCCATTATTTTTTTCTTTGAGATATAATATTTTCTTGTAAATAGCCTTTTTGGTATAGAAATTTAAAAATATGATTGATTTTAGTCAATACACTAGTTAACAAATCATATTAAAAAAATCATCCATAAATCAAATTCACTGCCAATTTGAACATAGTTTAATAGGTTAAAAATATTTGTACAAAATCGGGAGGTCGTGAGTAAAAATTTAATACTATAAATAATATATGCAGTAAATATTTGAATTAATGAATAATTAAGTAGTGCATGAAGTATTATTTAGATTTCAATGCAATCATTGATGGTATTTTGTAATTGGGTCACAATTTTCTAGCATTGTTATTATTTTGATTGTTATTGTTGATGTTAATATTATTATTATTATTATGGCTTTTATATTAAAAGGGTTAGGTGGGGAAGATAGCAATGAACTCATCATCCACTAAATTTTACAATCCAGGAAGGATGGGATTGTATGAACCGATCCATCAGATTGGAATGTGGGGAGAAACCTTTAAAATCAATGCCAATTTAGATACACCACCATCTCTCGTTATCCAAGCTGAAACCAAGCTAGAAAATCAGGTTACCATTTCGTAACGTTTTCGTTTTTTTTTTCTTTTGATTTTTGGTGTCGAGAAAACAAGTTCAAATTCGCTCACTTCAGCCTTTACTCTTTTATATTTTTCAGTCAGATGATGCCTCTCTCGGCTCACTCGGAGATCCTCACATGTATGACCAAGAAGATACCAGACGCATTGATAAGGTACATATGGTTAAAGTTTTTTTTTTTTTTTTGTTTTCTTTTCAAATGTATTCAATAGAACTATGAATATTTGAAATAGTAATATATACTTTATCCACTTAAATTAGGCTGAATTGACATTAGAATATTTTATTTTGTATAAATTAAAAATCTAATTCGAAATTCCAAATCTTTACCTTTACCTTTTTAATGACATAACCTAATAGTTTTTTACCACCTATAATTTTTTAAAATACTATTTCAATTAAAAATTTTCATTATTTTCTTTACTTTTCTAACCACCTTTGTCACTATTGTATATTTAAGTATGTCTCGCTTGGAGTATTAATAAATTTAGGTTTGTTAAGCTTAAAGTTGAGAAATTTGAATTTGTCTAAATATTTAGATACTTTTAAATTAAATAAAACAAATAGTTATATAAAATTTAATTTGTGTATCTATGTTTGGCCCTTTTTTTTTTTTTGAAGCATCAATGTTTGCCTTGTGATCTACAATTTAAAAAAAAAATTAGCATGTAATATAAATATAAAGTATCATGGGTTTGAATTTTTGCAACTTCAATTTTATAACCATTCAAATTATCAAACTCGTCTCTTTTTTTTTCTTTTTTTAGGAAAAGCAAATTCGTTAAGTGTACATCATTATAGCTTAAATAATTTAAAATAAGTAATTAAAAAATAATTAAAATAAAAGATTAGTTATATTATATTAGGTTAGATATATCAAACTCATCCACTTAAGCTTCTTAAGTGAGGGTTTCATCTTTTACATATTCTTTTATTAAATATTCTCTTTAATCCTATAGCAGCATTGTTTAAATAAGAGGTTTTGCCCTATTTTTCCTTATTTGTAAGGTAATATTCTAAAAATCTATAAAGATTTCAATATATATAAATAAAAGTAAGTCTAGCTTTTATTAAATAATTTAATTTTAAATACTATTTTTGTATATTTTGATCGAATGTTCAATCTTCATCTCCTTATTTGTTGTAATAATTGGAAAAAAAAAACTTTAGTTCATTATTTTCTATGTGTTTGTAAAAGGTTCATTTTAAATTTCAACTTTTGTTCATATTTTTAGAACGTCTATTTTGATTACTTTTTAAAAAAGGATCAATTTAGTCTCAATATAAACAAATTTTATACACAAAACTTCTTTAATACACAGTTGTAAGTGTACAATTTGAAATTAGTAAATAGTATTTTGACCAATAATTTTTTAAAAAAATGGTTCATGACTAAAATTAATTACTTGTTTTAATGCAAATTTGAAGAACTATGACTGATAAACTGATAAGTAGTTTCATTTTCTCCCTCAAGAACCATTATACTCAAAAACTCAATTGCAGATTCAAAGACGTCTCGCCCAAAATCGGGAAGCAGCTCGTAAAAGTCGCCTACGAAAGAAGGTAATGAGGCAGAAATTTTACTTTCTAAGCAAAAAAGTTTTTCAATTGCAACCACAGAACAGTGTAATGAACAACTAACGCAAATTCCTTTCAGGCCTATATCAAGCAATTGGAAACAAGCCGCTTGAAACTCATTCAATTAGAGCAAGAGCTTGAAAAAGCGCGACATCAAGTACGAACAATACTTGCCTCTATTCGAATCTTTTTAGCCCTTATTGAGCTTAATCCAATGTTTCACCCTGTCTTTTCTTCAGGGTCTGTTTTCTGGCTCCCGATTTGATGCTAACCAGTTGGGTTTCTCTGGAACCACAAATTCAGGTTGGTTTTTGCTTTTTAGTGACTATCGCTCTTTCTTTTTGACCATTTTTTTTCTCTTTGATGCTCCACTGTCTTGTCAATAGTATGGAATCCTCAGTTTTTGGTATGGTAATTGAATGCTAAGCCACAGGATGTGAAATTAATCGGAATCGTGTTCTTATGGGAAGTGATCAGTGGCTAAAATTTTTGCAGGTCATGTGTTTGTCGTATTGTCAACTATGAATTTAACGTCTAAAGTCTTTTAACCCAACATGTGGGCCATCCTAAACTTTTGTCGGAACATTTTTTTAGAATGATATAAATATTCGCAAAGATTATCCAAATACCTGATGTGTGGTAAAGGCAGTTTCTCCCATTGGAGGTTACATTATCTCATCATTGCTTTAACAAAAGTTGAACTTTTATTTCTTTTTCCTCTTGTTAGTCTTCATATTTTTTTCGTTTAGATTGACAAGTCCTCCCAACAACTTATCATTGGTTTTGTTGATGTGATCTATTTTCATCTATTTTGTACAATTTTCCGTCTCTTTGGAGATAGATCTTATATTTGTAGGAGATGGTGACAAATAATTGGTGCCTAAAATGCTAGTGAGGTAGGGGACGAGGGGTGCCCGTAAGAGTTTGGGATATTTGAAGATATCCTCTAAGGTATAAGTTTAAGCCCTCGAGTTAAGAACTCAATGACTTAGTGCCCTTGTTGTCTCCCGAAGCTAGCTTTGGATGGGTAAAACCTCCTGGGAAATAAGTAGAGTGAGGCTTTCCATACCACAATTATTAAAAAAAAATGTTTAGAAGACTGTTTTCTTTTTTAGTACATGTGGAGGTGGGGCTTCGAACTTTTAACCTCATGGTTGGATACATGTGCCTTAATCTGTTGAGTGAATGTTATGGAAGTTGTAAGGAAGAGAACACTTGTGAATTTGGCTACCCATATGAAATTCTTTTTGTCTACTTGTATCATTCTGCAAATCTGTTTCTTGGGCTTTTATTGGCTAAATCTCAATACCCATTTACATTCATTTAATCATCAGGTCTTTCTTCTTTTTACTTGCAATTACCTTCATCTTTAGTATTCTTATCTTCTGAATATATCCCCACTATTTGTTTTGTAGGCATCTCTGCCTTTGAATCAGAGTACGAGCAATGGGTAGAAGAGCAGAACAGGCAGATTAGTGATCTGAAGACTGCTGTGCATGCTAATATTACCGATATCGAGCTTCGAATACTTGTAGAGAATGCAATGAGACACTACTTTAAATTTTTTCGCATGAAAACGAAAGCTGCAAAAGCCGACGTCTCTTACATAATGTCAGGCATGTGGAAATCATCAGCCGAAAGACTTTTCTTATGGATCGGAGGATTTCGCCCTTCAGAACTGCTTAAGGTATGTTGTTATTTGATATGTTTGGTGAATCACAGTAAAACGTTTACATCAAAGAAATCGACAATCTCCCAATCAGACTTGAAGTTGGCTCTATTTTTCAATTATAAATCTCCATACACAGAGCCTCAACTGCGTGGCTTAATATAGAGTTCATAAGATCTTGAATTGACCTCCGTTAATAATTGTACATAGCTCCATGGACCACCCCCTTGAAGGAATTAGAGCTTTATATAAGCTCTTACAATGTTCTTGTTTATTTCATGTATTGTAGTGGATTTTATTGACATTTACCCGTACTATGTTCTTGCAAATTATCTTCTCTCAAATATCCTGCACTTTTATTTTTTATATGGTAAAATCACTTGCTTTCTTTGAACCAAAATTTCAATATTCAAGGACAAGAACACTGAGAGGATATATATGAACGCATAACCACTTTTGTTTAATGTTGATCACAGAGTTACGATATATGATGCAGGTTTTAATACCTCAGCTGGACACGTTAACTGAACAACAAATTTCAGAAACTGGTAGTCTTAGGAAATCGTGTCTACAAGCAGAAGATGCTCTAAGACAAGGTATGGAAAAACTCCAGCAAAATCTATTTGAGAGCGTGGTGGCTGGTCAGCTGGCTGAAGGAAGTTATCCCCTACAGATGACTGCTGCAATGGAGAGATTAGAAGCACTCGTTAGCTTTGTGAACCAGGTAAGAGCTCAAGTTCACAAGTCAAATGAGATATAGTGTGTTCTTTTAACATCTCCAGTCTCCTTACCTCCCATGTCCTAAGTCGGGGCGTTAGAGAGCGGAGAGTTAACTTTCTTGCCTCTTGATGTCTATGGAGTTGGGTTTAGGGTCGGTAGGTCTACCTTGAGATGGAGTTTTGTACTGGGAATACGATTAAAGTTTCTCATGTGCTAGTAAAGAGAAAGATGTATGATATATAAGTGAAAAACAACATTTCTATGGATACAAAGCTTTTTGAGTGAACCAAAATCAAATGCATGGAGGTGTAGGCTCACAGTGGCAACAACATACCATTTAAAAAATATGGGGAGAGTTGGTTGTCCTGAGAAGTTGGACCCAAATATCTCGATTACTAGAAGTAAAAAGTTAATCTCTTTGATAACATTGGTCATTCATCCTCTAAGCATAGAACTTGATCAATGAATTCCTTTGGACCAGTAGCATTTAGATTATAATTTATCTACTTGTGATCCAGAGTTATATTTGTTTTCTAGAGAATTTCATCAACATCATCAATCTCTTTTCCGTTGTCTCTCTTTTCTAATGCCCAAATAGGCTGACCATCTACGACAGGAAACATTGCAACAGATGTACAAAATTCTAACGACTCGGCAGTCTGCTCAAGGGCTTCTTACACTAGGAGAGTTTTTCCAACGACTCCGAGCATTGAGCTCGCTTTGGGGCAACCGTCCTTGTGAGCCTGCATAGTCCACCATCAACAATTGCCAAGCTCAAAGTTGCTTCAACCCATCATGTCTATTATCCTCGAGATCTGCAAGGTGCTTATGTTGGTAGTATACTGGTAAAGCATTTATAATCAAAGATGCATAGTCTCTTTTACCACTGTGCAAGCGCCCTACAACACCCGTTTGTAAATACCGAGAAAATTTGTAAGTATGATTAATTTTTGAAATCTATTGTAACGCCAAAGTTGTCTTGAAAGTAATCCTATTTAGGGTCGATATAATCAATCCTCAGATTGAACATTTTTGTGATGTGATGTAAAATTATTTTGGTGAACTGATTACACTCATAAATGTTTGTGCATATTGTAGTCTCTTTAGTTTCTAGTAGTTGGTTCAAATTGGAACTGTTTTTCTTAATGGTTTTTTAAACTTACATTTCTGCTTGGATCATAAGCAATGGGTTGGTGGTATTGTAATATTTCAACTCTCAATTTTGCTACTGTTTCAGAAGTAGAATAGTTTAATTCCATGGACTCGACCATCAAATTAGCTATTTTCCTAATTTTATTTGTGTGAGAGATCGTTTTAGTTATGATAAATGTGGTTCTAAATAATGGAATGTACCATCAGTCATACAATGATTTGCATAATAGAAAAAATCTTCGAGATGTTTGATTAATGTTGATATTTTCGGGTCTTAGGTAAGGTTTCAGAAAATGTCGAGATCTGAAGACAAATTGAGTGAAAAGAGATCAGAAATAGTAAGCGCAGTATCTATCCATGCCATATTGCACTCAAAGCATCTCGTAAGGAGCTRAAACCTTTCATTGTAGCGGATATCGAGTTTCATGAAAATATCATAAAATATCATACGTGTTTGAGAGTTTAAAAATGAATAATGATATTATGTTCGTATTGATATTTTGTAGTAGATATTTCTTATATTTTATGAATTTAATGAACAACTTGTGAGAAAATATGCTTCAGAGAATTTATATTTTTGAAAATAAAACAATATATTTTGACATATATTCCTTAAATATTCGTATTCTTGTGCACAAATGAGTTAATTTTAACTGTGAGTTCCATCTACCTCGACTAGATTGTGAATTATTATTTGTGAGAATCAAACAAATTTTTTGGAGAAAACTTCGTCCTCACCATTCATGAGCATTGTATTCCTTACCCTCGCGTGGTCCTATAGTAAAATGACAAGGATTAATTATTCCTTTATTTTAATTATTTTATCAAAACTCATAATCTCATCAAAATATCTTCTAGATTTTTTAAAAAGTGTTTCATTCTTCCATTTTTCTCTTATAAAAAATACATATCTACAATTTAAAGTTACAAACACACACATGTCCACATTGATTTTTAATTTTCATAGTTTTAAATAATTGTGGACATTATATCATTTTTTTCTCTGTTCTATTATTTTGCTTCGCATCTCATGGTCTTCTGATTTAAATGAGACGCTGCATAAGTGAAAAAATGCATACCAATAAGTGAGAAAATGAAGGATACCAATAAGTGAGAAAAAAGAGTCGAGATGGTGTAGGGAGAGAAAAATGGTAGAATGAATCGTTTTAAAAAATCTAAAAGATATTTTGATGGGATTATGAATTTTGATAAAATAATTAAAATAAAGGAATAACCCTCCCTTGTCATTTTACTATAGGACCACCTTGTCATTTTACTATAGGACCACATGAGGGTAAAGAGTACAATGCTCCTGAACAGTGAAAGTTTTCTCCAAAAAATTTGTTTGATTCTCACAAATAATACCGAGAATTGGTCGAGGTAGATGTAACTCGCAGTTAAAACTAACTCACTTGTGCACAAGAATACCAATATTTAAGGAATATATTGTCAAAATATATTGTTTTATTTTTAAAAATATAAATTCTCTAAAGCATGTTTTCCTCACAAGTTGTTCCTTTTTTTCTTTTTTTTTTTGGTGCTCACAAATCACATATTACAACCAAAAAAAAATCCTTTCAAAATTTGTGAATCCCGATTTTGATGGGCATGATCTACTAACTTCTATATAGTATTTTCTTTTCAGAAAAAAAAAACTTCTATAAGTATTTCCATCAAAATTTCGAAAAACGACTTTGGAAGGAAAAAAAAAACAATAATTTTCAAAATAGTTCCGAAGAACCACTCCATAATTTTCAAAAGAAAAACAAAGTAGAAAACTATTTTCCAAAGAATCCTCTAATCCCCTAAATTTTAGACATTTGACAGAGGCATAGACTTAAGCTACATGTGGAGCTTCTAATAGTTTAGTTTGTTCTTGGAAGTTTTGAAAGTGTCTTTGTACAAGCAAACTTCTAACATTGAATAATAATACACCAAGTGAGAGCTGCTACTACAAACCAGAATTACATAATTTATTTGAAATACATAGAAGTGAAAGAACACTGCATATGGCTTCCTTACCAGACTAAAGCTTTACATCTTTGACATGGCATAGTCCAAAGCATCAACAAGAAAATCTGCACATAACAGAGGGAAAGGAGTATCTCAGTAAAACACATCTTCCTTAGAAACTCCTAAAATCTTCTTCATTTTCGGAACAGACTGTGTATAAGATGTTGCTTTATTATTTTCAATGGGAAATTTACAGTATACCTGCATCGTCTTTGGTGAAACACATAGGAGGCTTTATTCGAAATACGTTGCCGTGGAGACCCCCTTTCCCGACGAGAACGCCCAGTTCTTTGATCAGGAAGAAACGAGTTGTTAGAACAGAAGCCATAAGTTACTTTCAATTGAACTTTATTTTCTTTGGAAATCAGAGAATAGCGGTGTACCTCTTAGTTTCTCAAACAATACTGCAGTTTCGGTCTTTGCTGGGGTCTTGTCTTTACGGTCGGTCACAAGTTCTACTCCTACCATTAATCCCCTTCCTCGGACATCTCCTATGACTGGAAAAAAAATACATTGATCAGATGAGGTGATGATTTCTTGCTTCGTGTGGTTCAAAAGACCAGGAATTGGAAGGAATGCAAAGATATAGATTAAATTAGTTTTGATGCTGTTCCAAAGCTTTGAAAAATTCCATTGTAAGAAGTATTAGAGGGAAGTGGACTTGTGAAGGTAAAGCCATAAAGAGACCAAATCAAAGAGAACTTACTTTCGTATTTTTCCTGGAGAGCTCTCAATCGTTCCAACAAGTGTGAACCGACATTTGCACAATGTGCTTGACGCTTCTCTTTGTCAATAACTCTTAGAACTGCAAGTCCCCCAGCAGAGCAAACTGGGTTCCCCCCAAAAGTGTTGAACTGAATTTTTTGAGCCATTGTGCTTGCTATTTCAGGCGTTGTCACCACTGCTCCCAATGGTAAACCATTTCCAATACCCTGAAAAGTTCATTACTTAAGAATTGCTGGGAATAAGTTTCAAGGTATAAACCAACGAGAAGAATGATTTTCTTGAAAGAATCGTTTGAATTTAGGAATTTAAACATTTTCCAATAGGGACTCCATGATAGCGATAAATACATTATGCCGAAGGCCAAGTATATTTCATGTAGACAACTATTAGAAATCCTAACAGGAGAAATACCTTTGCCATGGTTACTATATCCGGAATGACACCCTGTGTTTCAAAGCCCCAATAGTGGCTTCCTGTACGACCAAAGCCAGTTTGAACTTCATCGGCAATGCAAACACCACCAGCCTTGCGAACAATGTCATAAACAAGTTTCAAGTATCCAGGTGCCAATTCAACAGCTCCTCCAACACCCTGAGATAAACGTAAACCAAATGTACCTTCAATTTTGTTGTAGAATAAGTATCGTGATATCATGTTAAATTTCAGACATCAGAAAAACAAACCTGAATTGTTTCAGCTATAAATCCAGCAACTCTTCCTGAACTACCATAATCTATGTGATCCTGAACATCTTTGACATAACTGCCAGCATCTGACCCAAATATTCCACGATATGGATCTGGATTAATAACATGATGAATTTCACCCTGCACAGCACCACGAGAATTTTACAGATGAGCCAAAATATTTGGATCGAACTGCCCTGCCAATCACAGAAAATGTAGCTGCAGACTAGAACCAGCAATGTATTGCATATGTCGAACAATTACATCACATGTGAAAGCTCTGTCTTGCAACATAGATCAGATGCACCCTTGATTTTACAATTAGCAATTGCAAAAGAAAAAACAGTAGATATGTATACTTCAAGTAGTTACTTGATCCGTGTTTATAATATTGCTGAAGTGATTCATTTAAATTCAAAGATGCTGCAAGACTAGATCAAACTAATAGTAAACCAGACGGCAATGTTGGTTCTATCTCTAACATACAGGCAACCAAACGAACAATTACACCGGAGATTAAGTTCTGGGTAGGAAAACCTGAGGTATAGGGTACTTCCACGTGTTCAAAGCTGTCAGACCAATTGTGTTGGAACTTCCTCCATGGTATGCATTTCTCAATGAAATCATACCTAGGTTACCACTGTATAGACGGGCCATAAGCATTGCTAGTTCATTTGCTTCTGTCCCAGAGTTCACAAAATACACAACCTGCATAATCAAGCGAAATAAGCAAAAGTTTGAGGCAATACAAAAGTAGGATGTTGATTAAAAAGGGGTAATAAGAAGAATCAAGAGTGATGAGGTGACAATTCAACCACAACAAAGATCCTCCAGTTCTAGGAGATCAGTATCTTATCCCACAACAAAGAAATATGCACCGCTATCTCTAAATGAATGTCCAAATACAAGTTCAATGTTGTACAGAGCCTAAGTTTAGAAAGGAAAAAACACCTTCAAGTTTCCAGGCATTTTGGCTGCCAATGCTTCGGCAAAATCAGCTATTGCATGGTGTAGGTATATAGTTGTGGCATGCTGTAGAAGCTTGTTCTGCTCATTAACTGCAGCTAAAACATCAGGATGGCAATGCCCACAAGATACTGTAACTATTCCAGCAAAAGCATCAAGGTAGCGCCTTCCATTCTCATCAAATAAATATTGCATTTTTCCTTCTACAATGTTGAGCTGTTAAAATAAGAAAGTAAGATCAACAAATCAGTTTCTGAAGAATATCCGGAATTGAAGGGCTTCCATCAAAAACACATAATAGTTACTTTAAATCAAATTTCTCTGACAATGGACATGTGACAGCTTAAATCAAAGTACCAAAATGGCAAGGCAATAATCATATTTAATTACCAGTGAGAATAGTTTCAACTCTCAAGCTTAAGTGAAAAGCTGTACAGAGTTCTGATTCATTTCAAAATCTCGAAGATTGGATCACATTTACTTTTCCATACCAAAGTAATCTGATAAAAAGATTGATAATATTTTAGATTGCACGAATATTTCTATAAAAGTAACTAAAACAACACGATTCTCCCATGGCTTGAAAACTTGGTATGTAAACCTTCCAGACCTGGATTGCAGCAAGAGAGTACTTTTTTTTTTCCTAAATAACTTTTCACGAAAATGATGCGTGCTCTCCTACTCAATTCCGATTAAGAGTATCCTAAATTTTTCATAAAGTAGAAAATCTTCATTTCCAAAATTGTAGAGGAATTTTCCATGCAAAACTTTTTTCGCCGCTGATAAAGTCGACATGCACATACCATTAGAAGTAGAAATTCAATTTAATGACCAATGTTTAAACAAAAAGAGAGAGAGAGAGAGAGAGAGAGAGAGAGAGAGAGAGAATCATGCTTAATTGCAAAAACAATCAACAGTTTCGCCTGTGTCTGTCATATCACAAAGCAATCGAACAGGAAAAGCGGCAAAATTAACCAAAATCATACTTAATTGCAGACAAAACACTAGAGAAACGAACAGCTAGAATTTCCTTGCAATCTCTAACACAACACCACATCAAAATCAACAATGCAGAAAAACCAATCTCTCGAGTGAAGAAAAAGTGGAGATCAGAGAGATTACAGGCTTCTGATAGTAGTGGAAAAGCGAAGGGCCAAGAAACTTCTTCCGCTTCTGGAAAATTTCATCGGCAAGAGGTCCTTTGTAAGGCTTCGGCTCGTAATCAAACGGCGGAAGCACAGGTTTGGCATCGGCATCGGACGCAGCCGCAGCAGCAGTAGAAGGAGAAGAAATCGAAGAAAAGGAACTGCAAAATGCTAGCCTATAACGGCCATTTTTAGCCTCTGGTAGAGCCTTCTTCAGAAGTTGCCTCTGCAACGCCATGGCCGATTACTCTCTGCTCCGAAGAGACGGCGGCTCTGTCACAGCTGTGTACAAAATTTTATGCAGATTTTGGAATTTGGAAAGAATCAAGGAGTTCATAAGAAATTCTAGGAATCTGCTGACGTGGCTTTTCAAAATTCTATATATATATTTTTTTCTTAATGGATGTTGATGACTAGATGCTGATCATGCTGATCTATACGGTTTAATCAACTTGATACTGATGAAATGATGGCGGTTCCAGAAAAAAGGAATAACAACTGGGAAAATTAATTATAAAACATTTCTGGTGGGCCCACCATAATAATCTAAGTGAGAGAAGAGATTCGAAGCCATTAGATAAAAAAAAAAAATCGAACTCACCATTTCTAGTAGGAAATAGGTGCAAATGTTTGTTTTTTTTAATAATATTTTGATCGGAAATAAGTGCTATCTTCAAATAGACAGATGCTCAAGTTGCCAACTATAAAAATTAGATACTATCTTTAAAATCTTTTTTAATTTTATCCCTATTCTTTTAAAACATTTAATTTTACTTTTAAAAAATATATATTTGAAAAAATAGGATACAAAATTGTGATTTATTTTTCTAAACAATGTACTCATTGAGGGACCAAAGAACTAACTCCCATGGAGAATATTTGATGAATAATCTACCGTAGGTGAAAAACACGATACATTTAGTATAATAATATCGATTATTCTATTGATAATCTAACATAAACTTTTTGATAATATAAATTCATCTTATTTTGGCAATCCATTTTAATTCTATCTCACCATAGATTTGATTGTATTTTAAGTCCCCACATATTACAATGAAGAGATAAAGTAAAGGAAATTTTTGAAAATTCTAAAAAATGGGGATGAAATTTAAAATTTTCTAAAAGAGATAATCTAATTTATTATTTTTGCAAATTTTGTAGTTACTGTACCTTTAAGTTTGTCCATTTGATATAATTTAATTTTACTGTTTAAGTATAATTCATTATTCAACTAATTAAGTTTTTGATAACTCATCTTTAAAATTGTAATTCAATTTTCTTTTTTAGTCTCTAAAAACAAAAGAAAAATCATAATTAATGGGTTCAATAAGATAGTAATTGAAATATTATTTCAAAATTAATCTAAACTATTCACTTCATATATATAAAAAGATAAAAGAGAGTCAATTACGTCATATCCAAAATGGCGCCATGAAAATTATTTTCCAAGCTTATGTTGTTTTCTTTTGACGAAAATTACAAATAAGAAACTTAGAAAAATGGAAAAATGCAGCTAAGAATCCTCTTTAATAATTGTACTTTTTAGCCAGCCCCTCTGAAAAATAAATATTACAAGTACATAATAATAATAATATAAATTAAGTACACATTTAAGTCAATTAATATATTTGTCATTTTTTAACTTCGTTGTTAATATTTTTTCTTTTATGTATTAAAAATTTTCATTCAAGTATATTAAAGAACATAGTGTAAAATTGTCAAAACGAACATATGTCAGTGGTAATGAGAGGTGGTAAGTTCCATCCTCACTCCACATGTTGTACTTAAAAAAAGAATATAATGTAAAAATAGCACATATATATTAATACTAAATTATTATTTTATAATCCTAGCAGTTGATTCTAAAATTTACATAAATGACATAATAGAAAATAATTTCTTTTTAGTACAAATAGGGTGGGAATTCGAACCCACCATATTTTGATCGAAGATATATACCTTAATCGGTAAATTTATGTGATTGAGAATAAAAAATAAATTTTATAACAACTCACATATCATGTTTGAAACGGAAATAAATGTTTTTAATTATTCTGTTTTGGTTTTCTACTCTAGATTCAATCAAGTCAATAAAAATATTTTTTTAAAAGTGAGAAATTTAGGAGAAAAAAAAAGTAAAATTCAAATCAAAAGGAAATGAAACTCGCGAAAATTAAATGCTACTAAACCAACTTAAATTTTAAAAAAATATAAAACTAATATCAAAACCATAAAATAATGTACTTACAAATACCTTTTAATTTACTTTTTTCTAGTAAAATCATCCATTCATCCTACAATTTACCTAAATAACATAAAATAAATACGTATTTTCAAATATAACATGAAGTTTAATATTTTAAAAAACAATATAATTCAAATCAAAGTCAAGTTCAAAAGTAATATAAACCTGTCAAGAAAAAAAAAATCTATGCTATATTTAAAAAAAATGAAAAGCTGCTACATTTGAAAAAATCATATTTTGGCTAAGAGTAAAATCTCTCTAAAATTCATTTAAATAATCTATCCAATTGACACAACCCTTATAAAAAATTAATAGTAATGTTTGCTTTAAAAAGCCTGGTAAACCCTATTATAACTATTCAAATCCTTTTGTCATAATAATTGGTAGTTGGGTAATAAATTATTTTTCATACACTATTCCATTTTAATAAATTTATATGTTCGTGAATCGGAGCATAATTCAACATATTAAGACACATGTATTAAACGATGAAATTAAGAGTTCGAATTCTCACCACACATGTTACACTCAAAAGAAAAAAAGGTTCATATGTTCCAAAAATCAATATATGGGTTGCATTCACCTCCACATGAAAAATGTATTTTAAAATTTTGGAAAAATATTTGTAAAGTACTTTTAATATTTATAATATTAATTATTAATTATAATATCAAACGGAGATAAGAAAACATAAAATACAATGTGAAATAATCAAAAAAGAAAAAGCCACAATTAAATATTACTGATTTAAAGAAAATTTTTAAGAAGATCCATAGAAAAATGGTTTATCTAATGAATTTAAAAAAAAATAAAATGCACTTTGAAATAATCGAGAAAGAAAAAAGCTGTAATTAAATATGACTGATTTAAAGAAAAAAATTAAAAAAATATATATCCATATAAAAATGGGACTTATCTAATGAATAAAAAGAGAAATAAAATACACTTTGAAATAATCGAGAAAGAAAATCGGACGCGCTAAAAAAATGAAAGAAAAAAGATTTTTGAACCCGACGTGAATCGATCACGCGATCTGGAGTCAAACGCACTACGGATCCACTTGTTTAATAAGAGTCATATGATTTTATTTATATTATAATAGAAATATACAGGAGAAGGAAATTGGGAATATACATGTGAAAAACAGAAAAGAGAACCCGACGTGAATCGAACACGCAACCTTCTGATTTAGAGTCAGACGAACTACCATTGCACCACGGATCCAATTCATGTTACTCAAATAAAAATAAGAGTTTTAAAGCTAATTATTTGTTTACTTTCTTATGCAATTCGTTATTTACTTCTTCTATTATCGAATTTATTATTTTATATTGTCCTCAAGATGGAATATATATATATTCAGAAACCTATTTTTTGGACCTTTTTCCAGGGAAATTTTAACTTTTAGTTATACCCGAATCGAGACTATTTTAACTTCAAAATTTTGAAATTATCACTTTGAATCCTAAATTGAAATAAATGATAAAAGTAATACTTATATTTAGTCAACAATGTCAACGAGGATAACTACATATAGTTATGATTCGAAGTTTGAAAGCATAATTAAAAATTTGAAAGTAAAGGGATAAAGAGATGCAAATCAAAGTTGCAGTCACTAAGATTTTATTTTACTTTTGAAATAGTGAGTTATTGTATAAAAAGCTTGAAATTAGAAATTAAATTAAAGAGGCGAAATTTTAATGTAACTATTCAAATGGCGAGGTCCCAATTGGCATACTTCTAATAGTATTAAAAGTGCAACACAGCTAAAAGTGAAGACAAATGATAACGATGGTAATGAAGCATTTGTGGTAAGGCATACATGGTCTGGTCCTCTTTAGGAATATGTTTTCTTGCAAACCTTTATTTATATTAACGTTATAATTAGTAAAGAAACACGTTCAAGTCAATTTGACCAAGATATTACTTATCTCTGCTAAAATTCAACGATTCAAATCCCTCCTGTTCGTTGAACTGAAAAAACAAGAAGAGACATGTTCAGCTATTTCCATGTTTAGTGCCATATTATGAATGTCATCCTACTGTAAGAGAGGAACAACAAGAATCACCTGCCAAAATCCAGTCATTTGGCCCAATTGAGACCCTGCAACTGCAAAGTAACCTCAAAAACTCAAAACATGGAACTAAAAGATGAAGAGTTGGAAAAATGTAATTGAATTTGAGGCTATGCTACCATAGTCAAGAATAAAACATGAACATAAAAACATGTCCTACACAAAATCTCTCTACCAAAGATGGAGAGAACCCCTAAAACAAAAGTCCACAAAACGTCTAATAAATATCAAGAGCGTCTTGATACATGTCGGATAGGAACACGTTACGCAAATTAAAATGCTGGTGGTCATTGTTATTGTGTATATCTTCGAAGGAATTTGATCTTCTCACTGTCAAATAAACAAGCCAAAGTCTTAAGAAGTGCTATGTCACACAAGTACAAAGCTATGTCTCATGTAACAACGTACATTATTTGGAGTGTCCCTCTTTGAAAGAAACCAAAGTTCATATGGCAAAAGGCCATACAACTTGGTTCAAATCCGGTGCACAAAGCCCGAACAAAGCACATCGAAAATCGATACACACTTCATACAGGCAACCAGATGTTAGATCAAATTAGCTCTCTGATTCTGGCCCGTCTTTGTGCTGCTAACTCTTTACGTCGCAATGCATCCACACATTGGCCACTATACGCCACCAACAGATCTTCCACATTATCTGGAAACCTATACACGAATTTATCAAAGAAATCCTCTTCAGAAATCCCCAATGTATCAACCAATTCTGGGTTCTTCCTCGTTAGCCTCTTCGACTTCACAACTTGTAAAACTCTATACCGAGGGAGCACCCTCCCCTGCATGCTGTGCATCAAACTAGTGGGTCTTCGAACAATAAGTGATCTGCTAACTTTTGCCTCATTCATAAAGAATTCTATACCAGTCTTTAGCTTAGCAATGGAGGTTCTTATCAAAACAGGAGCAGAAGTGAACATTTTCATACATTCTTTCTCAGTAAATCCAAAGCTGCAAATCAGCTCCACTTTTTTCTTAAAGGTTGCATTACTTACACTACTGATGGCATGAAGTCCGTGAACAAACATTTTGGTATTCGTAGAAAAACCAGTCTCCACAGCCATGGAGACAAGATCTCTAACTCGAGATTCTCGCCTACCAAAAAGTACAGGTTGCCTCTTCAGTAACATAGAGAGTTGAGAATCAACAATCCCACAACTTCGAAAGTAATTAATGTTTACAAGCAACCTAGACTCCGGGCATCTCATAAGAATATCAGAACATCGCCTCATAACTTGCAGGAGGTTGCTATTATCCTCATCCTTGGGGAAAACATTCTTGAGAATCTCAACACTAGGCCTCAATTTATTCTTCAAACTAACAGTCAAAAGCGAAGAATGGTTGGAAATGAACTTACCCAAATCGGAGCCGACCAGGCCAAGATTCTGGAAGAACTCGATCTTCGGCTTCAGAGTCTTTTCAACGCTAGAAAACGCGATTTGCGGCGAGATGCGGATCGCGGATTGAATGTGGGCGTCGGAGAATCCGAGCTCTGAAAGATATTTGCAAACGGATCGAGGCTTTTCGGTTGATTCAACGCCCTTGCGGCAGCTCATAATCGCCAGCGCTCTGGCTGTGGACAAATTAAAGTTGTCGACAAGGTATTGAACGACGATGGCATTTGCAGCAGAGGCTTCGCGGCGGGAAGAAGAAGAAGAGAAAAAATAGCACAAGGGCGGATCGATTGGATGGCAATGGCGAGCAGAAAGAGAGAAAATTGATCTCAGAGCGTACATTTAAAACCTCAGAGACATAGAAATTCTAGGGTTTATGAGCTGATTTCAGACGGCGGCGTCTCTGAGCAATTGAAGATAATTTCTGACCGCCCGCGCTCCGGCTTCGGCGGTTCAACATTTTCTATTACATCAACCCCGGACGGAATAATTGTCAAAAAAAGAAGAAAAAAAAAAAAAACCAGACGCACTAAAAAAATGAAAGAAAAAAAGGATTTTTGAACCCGACGTGAATCGAACACGCAACCTTCTGATCTGGAGTCAGACGCGCTACCGTTGCGCCACGGATCCAATCGATAATGCACTTATTTATTAATATAAATAACTAGAAGAAGCAAATTAAGAAAAATACATGTAAAAATAGAAAACTTGAACCCGACGTGAATCGAACACGCAACCTTCCGATCTGGAGTCAGACGCGCTACCATTGCGCCACGGATCCATTTGTTGACAACGGTTACCGAGTAAATTAATATAATTTAACATTATAATTTTGATATTTACTTATTTAATTTTTTGATGCACTTCATTTTTCATTTCTTTTATTATCGATTTTATTATTTTATGTTGCCCTTAAAACTGAAATAATAAATAACGAATTTATATTTTAGTTTTCAAATAACAAATTATTGTAATAGAAGGTTGAAATTAGGAATTAGATTAGAGAAGGAACTTTTATTGTAGTGTAACTACTGAAAAGAGTATGGCAAGATCCCAATTGCCACAATTCTTATAGTGGCAAGACATACATCATCTTTAGGAATATATTTTCCAGCAAAATTTCATTTATATTAATGTTATAATTGGTAAAGAAATATGTTCAAGTCAAATATGAGTATATAGCTTAATTCACCAAGGTATTATTTATTTAAATTATATTATTTTTAATACAATAATATGTAAGGATGAGAATTTGAACCTATTACCTTTTGTTAGAGATATATGTCTTAATCAGTTAAAAAAAAATCGATCAGTTAAAAAAAAATCAATAAAAATCAATTATGATTTATTCGGAGTTTGCATGAGTGTTTGAAAAAATTCAGTCACGATTTTAAAAAGGAACTCTTTTACGTAATATTGTAAACTATAAATAACTTTGACTATTACTCTTATTCTCTAGGCATAGTCTCATCGACCAAATTGAGAAATCAAACCACGTTGAAAAAATGTGTTTTTGGAAACTCAGCTATGTATACGCTACATATTTTGCTCAAAGAAGGTTCCTATACACATGTTTTGTGAAGCAAATCAAGAAGTGAGCACTCTAAATCAAAGAAGAAAAAAAAGTTCTGTGTATGAAACTGTAATTCACCTAGGACCCGATAATTCAAAAGCACGAACATTTTCTGTAGAATCGATCATCCATTCAGAAGTTTGAGAAGAAGCCAATTCTGTTTCATGGTACACCACCTCCACTCTCTGCCATTCCTCCCATCTCTCCGTCAGCCCGTCTCCGTCGAGCATTCTCACGACATCCGACATCTTCGGCCGCTCCATGGGCGAGCTCTGCGTGCAGAGAAGAGCTACTTGGATTATTTGCTCAACTTCAATTTCGTCGTAATTTTCCTTCAGATCAGGATCAACCAACATCTCCAACTTCTTCTCTTTCAGAAGCCCTTTCACCTGCAATGTAATCAAAATGAGAGAGGAGCAAGAAACAAGAAATAAGATTTTGCAAAAGACTGCTGAGTCCATACCCAATCAAGCAGCATTACGTCTTCATCGTTTGCTAGTCGAGCGAGATCGAAAGCTCTCTGTCCAGTTATGAGCTCCAACAGCATAATGCCATAACCAAAAACATCGGTCTTTTCCGACGACTTCCCAGTGGAGAGATACTCCGGGGCTATATGCCCAATGGTACCCCGTACCGCTGTTGTAACGTGTGTATCCTTGTAGTCCATTAGTTTTGCCAGACCAAAATCGCCAACGATTGCCTCGAACTCCTCATCCAATAGAATGTTTGCAGCTTTCACATCGCGATGGATGATTTTCGGATCACATCCGTCATGTAGATAAGATAGCCCCCTTGCAGAGCCTAGTGCAACTTTCTTTCGAGTTGGCCAGTCGAGAGGAGGTTCGGATTGCGGACGCTCTATGAAAACATACCAGTTTCCTTGTGAGTTCATCATAATACAAGTGCCTTTTCCAGTTAGAAAAGAGGTGCATTGGAGTAAATGGCATGATGAAACGAGATTCACTTGAAGAGTTATAAACTTGAACTCGGCATGGTTAACATTTACGATGAAAGAAAAAGAAACTGTACCCCTTAAACATGAAGCAACACTTCCATTAGCCATATAGGGATAAACAAGAAGGCGTTCGGTTGATGTTGTACAAAATCCGTGTAGTCGCAGAAGATTCCGATGCACAGCCATGCTAATCATCTCTACTTCGGTTTGGAACTGCAACTCTCCACCTGGTGTACGCTCTTCTTTGAGCCTTTTTACTGCTACTAATGAGCCATCAGCCAGGCGTCCCCTGTACACTTTACCAAATCCACCTCGGCCGAGAATGTTTTTGTTACTGAAGTTATCTGTGGCAACTTGCAAGTCTCTAAGAGGAAACCTTTTGAGCTGCCCCAAGCTGATCTCTGAATCTTCTTCAGCTGCATAAACGAAAGCCATGGTATGATGACTTAAGCTAAAAAAGGTAGAAGTCTGTGAATCTTTTGCAACAGAAACAAACCGGGGACATCGAAGAATAGTTCTTGTGATCTCCTCCGATGCCAATAGGCAAATATAATTGCTGGAGTCGCGAAAAGTAATGCAGCACCGGCAGCCACTCCTCCAACAATCACTCCGTTTGAATTGTTTACTTCTGTAGAGTAATCACACATGTTTCAAACTTGCTTAAATATATGCCGAGTGCCACAATGGCGAAGTTACCTTATGCAACCAAAAAGACAAAAAAAGTTGAGGGTCTGTACATGATTTCAATTTCGTTCTTATGGTTTTAAAAGTCCCACTTTGGTTCTTATAGTTTAATTAATCTTAAAACCATCTCCGTTGTTACCAAATATGAATGATTTTCTTCTCAACTCACATACCTCGCTCTTCTATTTCAAAGGAACACATATCATATAAGAAAGCTGTTAACTTCAGTAATGGCAAAGATGTTGTAGGAGATTTAACCAAATCACAGAGAAAATTGAAACCAAGTATAAATCATATAGACTAAAATGTTATTTTATCTCATTATTATTAGTTTTAACAACCACAATGTAAATTTGAACCTAACTGCAATTATTGAGAGGTCAATGATAAGCTTACAAATGGTGAGATGAAATATTCAAATAGTACTATAGTTGAAGAATACTAGAACAATGCCTATTTCAATAATCTTTCTAACCAGATAATACCATGGGAAGAAAATGTTGACTGTGGAACAAAGGGTGGCGGTGGAGAAAAAGGAGGAGACCCAGGGCAGGGTTTCCCAGTTACCAAACCACATAGATCCAAGTTATTGGCGAAACTACGAACAGAAAGACAGGAATCAGTAGAGGATCGGGTAACATTGATTGAGAAGAAAGTTCATGTGATTTATCAGCAAAATACCTGATGGGAGTAAATAGTGAAAATGAGCCATTATTTGGAACTTTTCCGGATAAAAGGTTGTTTGATAGATCCCTGTGATCAGCATTTAAACTATGTTCATAACCACACTATTTTCACTCGAAATTTAAGATGAGAAAAGATGTGATTCAGAGACTTACAAGACTTGTAGGGTAGAAAGATTGGTCAAGGACATCGGTATCGATCCAGATAGGTGGTTGTCGTTGAGCCGACTATCCTTACAAAGATATACCAACAGAAACACCCATAAGTTTCATAAAAGGGAAGCAATTGTTTGGTACAAAGAGAATCGCATATGCACACACAATGAATAGATAGCAGACCTCTAGGGAAGCATGAGTCTTATTCAATGAAAGGAAAATCACAGAAGATGTCAAGTAATGATATCGCAAGTTATATAGCAGAGGATGAATATTCATACAGGAAACGCAATTGTGTGAGCTTGCCCAACGTGTCTGGAATCGAGCCAGTTAAACCGTTCAAGTAAAGGTCTAGGCTCACCAAGTTTTCCAGACTCCCAAGATCATCAGGAATCTCTCCACTTATGTTGTTGCCATAAAGCTCCCTGTAACTCACACCTCAATTTACTCAATTAAAATACAACGTTTGTAATGAAAAACGACGTAAAATCATTAAGGAAAGTGGCAAAACAGCACATGTTGGTGAAATGCACCACAAACAACCACTTATGCAATAGGAACTCAAGTATAAAGCTCTGAGTGAATTGAGTATGAGGTAAAAAATTACTTACAAGTATTGAAGACTTTTGAGTTGACCAAGCTGTGGTACCAATTTACCAGACAATCCAGCATTTCCAAGGTCGCTGCAGAGAATGCCAAAACCATAAAGTTTTGTATAACATCAACCAAAGTTTACAAATTCAATAGTCTGAGAAGAACGAATGAATGATAACAGGAAAGGAGGCTTCTTACACTCTTATAATGTTATTTTCATTGTTGCAGGTGACATGAAACCAAGTACATGGATTAACGAGGGTGGGGTCCCAACTCTGCAGAACATTGTTCGGATCTTCTAAATTTGTTCGAAAAATATGTAGAGCAGTAGCTGATTAGAATAGAAAGAACACATTGTCAAACTTAACCGAAACTGAACAAGAGAAAAGAAACCACAACCAGAACTTCATAGAATTGTACAATATAACAATGAGACAGAAATGTCTACCAGTGAATTCAATAATGCACTTAAAGCAAACGAAAGAAGAGTTTTATTTTCAAAGTTAGAACAATTTCTATTGCTTTGTTCTCATTATATTTCCCATGCATTCATAAATGTAACGGTTAAGTCTCTAGATCTAGTTCTAGACATATTTGAACTCTTGAAATTCAATCATTGCATGATTACAGAGACAAAAAATATGCCAACCTGAGCTAGTCGTGGGCTCGAATCTCCACCCCCACTTGTACTAAAAAAAGTAGACAAAAATGTGCTTCAAGTTTCAACCTATTTTAAATTATGACAACACATTAAGCTCTCAAAACCACCATTGAACTTAGAATATGTGAAGACATTATTGATCAAGAGGAATCCCAAGTAAACTGCCCTAGATGAATTTAGTCCCAAAACTTCGATGATTTCTGGTTCTGCACCATTTCCATCCACCCAAATCAACAAAGCAACATCA